AAGTAATTCCACAGATTTAAACATTAAGTGGCACCAGCACATTCAGTAGAAAAGGGGACCTTTCATAGGGACATTATGTATGCTGGACTTAGGTCCCTCGCTGGACTCAGACTGCCACAGCCCTTCTGAATTTCTTTCATGTTTCAACTACTTCAAAATTTGCTATTCAAAGAAAAATATCAAACAGTTACGTAGGTAAGAGTCTGAAGGATGTACACAGAAAAAATAAAGAGATGGGGACCTGTACTGTAAAATCAGTGCTATCCTCATTTGCACTGAAGATAAAAGCACTGAAAATTAAAAGCCCATCTGTTTTCGAGTGTGTGTTGATAGTATTGCCTGCATCTGACAGCAGTACAGCTCTGCACCAGAAGGAAATGGCAGTTTTGCCACTTATAAGCGAGGCAAGTGTATTGTTCAAGTGACAACAGCACTCTGAGTGCGGGGCTTGCCGAAATGTCTCTGCAGCTTACCTCTCCTGGCAGGAGAAAGTCTGCCTCTAAGTTACAGACAGAGGGCAGAACACTGTGGATTTTGTGACCTGGCTCCTTGACCTTCTTTCCTGTGTCTGAACGAGCAAGAGATAAAGGACTAGCTAAAGAGCTAAGAGACATTATGCCATCCCATCTCTTGCCAGTTTTCAACTTAAATCAACAGGCCTTTCTGGGGTCAGTCAGCACATAAACCTGCTGACTCACAAATGCTTGCAGCAGGGGTTACCCTTCACTTCTTTATGCTACACGCTGTCAGCACAGTCCATAACACCATTTTCATAAGGAGTTTAACACCTTTTTGAATCTGACAGTGTAAATGAAGATGTACCTGGGCTCAGCATTTTTCTATTTCAGTGAAAAATACTCTTATCTTCAGAAATCTGCTGGGGATATCCATGTGTGTAACAGTATGCAACCTCTACCACAGGACACAGCAAAAGACCAAAGACTCTAACCATGTAGGAAATGAGTAACAAACATCACTAGACATCAGGAAGCCGTGCGACATTCAATGGCACACAGGAGAATAAAGAGCATAACAAGTAGCATGGGGCTACTCCTACAATTGCTAGATAGGACACACAAAGGCAAAAGACAGTATGTTTGATGACAGGCATTTACACTGTAGACTGTCACTTCTATTAAACAGAAACATTTTTTTGCTGAATGAAATGCCATCCTACTCATCTCAGATCTTTTATGTGATGGTGATTAGACAGGGAAGTTGCCTGTGTTAGAAGAATGTTCTTACGATAAAGTGCAGAGACAGGAAACTGGCCAACATAAAATGCCACAAAAAGTATATGTTGCCTCAGAACTATCATGCTGAGAAAAAATATGACTATTCACATGACTTGTGCATTACTGAGCAGAAAAAAAAGAGCCTGTGTACTATAAGGGACAGAGACAGGGATGACTTGCTGATACAATTATATGCACAGAAACACAACTCTATGTGAAAAACTGAAGGTAGAATTTCATCTCAAAAGCTTCACTGCAAGGCAAGCTCGCAAAGACTGTCAGATGAAGAAAGACTGAAAGGAGCAAAAATATTTACTTTAGAAAAAAAGGAATAATGGAAAAGCAGAAAAAAAAAGTATATAAGGTAATGAATGGTACAGAAGCTGGATTTGGAGGAGCTCTTCTTGCTAAAAGACAAAATCAGTCAAATTGAAAGGCAAAGAAATTAGGACTTGATGATTGCAACAGTTTTCGACCTGAACTTCTACCTGACTGCAAAACCTTTTGCTGTAGAATGTAGCTAATTTACCAAGAGCTGAAATACCATCTTATGACTATGTGGAGAACTGGATCATGAAGATTTACAGCAGTTAAGAAAAAGTGAATTTTAGAAGAATTTGACAGGAGCCTTGTTTTGGGCCGTAGTTTGTACTGCTGTATTTGGGCATTACCTGCACTGCTGCTTTTGGAAGGGATAAACACGCACCTCCCAGAGACTATTACCCTGGGGGCTCGTGCACCTTCTGTCAGACATCTGATACTTGACAGAGAGTGGCTACTGAACTGAACAGGTCAGAAATAATATGTATATATCTACATTTCCACAAACAGTGCATTATCTAATGGTACACAGCCTGACTTTGAGATATCATCTATTGCAGAGCATACCTTTCACTGCTCCTGCATTTATGATCTGGACATTAATAAAAACATCCTTTAAATATACAACTAATGTTAAATCTGAAGGAAGAAGTAAATAATCTAAAGAAAAAGGCAATGAAAATGGTAAGTCAAGAGCTATGAAGAGAGAAGATAAATACAAACTGTTCAGCTATAAGAAAATGCACACACACACAAAAAGGATATGTCAGTGTTTCTGCCCTGGGACAGATAAGGGATGCAAAAGTAAGTACTGAGGTACTGAGCTTCACCCCAGCAGAAGAATCTGTTCCATTAATAGTCTTATTATCCAGAAAGGAGTAAGCCTCTCAAGTGCACATTTAGAGACACAGTTGAGATTTTAAAATCCCACAGCTTTGATAATATCTGGGATTCAGCAGCAAACAGCACCCACACTTTTAATCGGTGAGGCTTTTAGGATTGAGTGTTGACCAATACGAATGCAATGCTGGATGAGCTGGTTTTTACAATGAAGTACAATACACTCAAGAGCAAACAGAAAAATACACATGTTGATACAATGCAGTTTTTGAGAGGATGGGGGCAGGTTTTTCCTGGTAATCTCTAATTGCTCAGGTCTACCCTGTTTTCACAACTGTTATTTTCAGTGTGAGGTAGTTCAGGGCATGTATTTTTGTCTTGAGTATCTGCAAATCTTCAGCTATTGTAATATTTTGCTTTGAGTTCTCCTTTTTTTTTTTCCACCTTGTGTGAGTGGTAGATTGTGTTTCTGCAGTGGAAATTTCCAGTATTTCTGTATGTAATGTAGGATAAGTTGTTTTTCACAAAGACAGCAGTTGAACAGAGACTGGGGTGTTCTGACCTGCACAGAATTGGCACAGGCTTTAGGTAAGGTAATTAGGTAGGGTAGGGGAGAGCCTAGCATACGACAGAACAATTTTTGGAAATACTGTCCTTCTGTTACCATAAAAAGTACAGAACATACCTAGAAACAATAGGCTGGCAGCAGACGTTGTAGGAAATGTAACATAGCAACAGCGTAGGGAAGATTGTGAGCCACAGACACTCAACCAATGAGTGGCAGGAGGACCCAGTGGCTGTGTTGGACCCAGGCTATAATGGAATGGATTTCACTGATTAGGTGAGCAATTCTCCCTTTCAGTAGGGGGTGTGCTACCATTACTGCAGTAATGAATAAGCTGCTCTCCACAGAGATCTTTGCCTGATTAGAAATTTTTGATCTTGAGAGCATTTCTCACACTTATGATCAGTGAAGACTGCAAACATGTATGATTCAGATTTAAGCAGGTGAATATAGCAAGCTACTAAGACTTTCCTTTAGGCCCTGGGAATCAAGCCCAACGAGAATCTCTCATAAGTAGGAATCTTTCTTCAATATGTTCACTGTGCCGTGGTTTGGCCTTTTGCTCAATTTACTTCATGTACTCAGTTGAATGAGTTATTTGAAGAGTGCTTTTTACATGGAGACTTCATCTCATGTAAGCAGCTGGATGCAAATGAGTGGCAACATGTAGTCAGTGCAGCAGTGAAAGCGCGACTGTCATTAATTTGACTGAAATTCTTAATTTAGAAGAGTTCTGGGCTTTTAATCAGAAGTCAAAGACGATCTGGAAATGAAAGACATTTTCTGGCTTTCTCTTAAAGCTCAAAAAGAACCTAATGCAGTTTCCCCAGCACATTTCTGGGATAACTCTCTTCATTACCTTTAGAAAGGTGACTGAAAAGAAGTGGTAAGAGACAGAAGACAGAAAAGCGATCCTGGTTAACTACACCTCATTTACACTACTTTCCCAAATCCTCCACAGTTGCAAGTAACTTTGGCAGTGAGAGCAGAAATCCTGGTGCACACAATTCTTTTATCATAGCGAAATCATGATTTTTCAACAGACTGAACAGTAAGACCTCCCTCAAGGCAACTTCATGGTAGTGTTATCTGCAAAGTGCTGATTTAGATCTACTCAGAACAAAATGGGTGAATGTAGTGGTTAAAGGCTGCCACTCTCCTTATGTTAAAGGTAATGCCTCCATCTTTCAAGTTGCCATTACAGCCATGCCATCACTATTCCTCAAAACCAGAGAGCCATCTGAAGGACAGCTGGTCTGGACAGAGTCGTCAGCTGTATTACGTGTCCAAGCTGAGTTCTGAATTATAAAGGAACTACCACAGAATGGACTGAGCAATGACGGAGCAACAGTTGAGCAATGACTATCGGGCAAGTGATGGCATGAAGCAGTAACTGGCTTCTGGTTTTAGGTATGACTGCTACAGAAAAGTTATCTTTATATGAAACTGTGATACCTACTGCCAAGGAAAAGGGGAAAACATAAGGATGTAGAGTGAGCTTTGAAGAATTTTCCTAACAACAGTCATGAGCCAGAATTGCACATTCAGCACTGTAACCATATCTACAGCACAGAACATAATGCTGTGCAAATAACCAAGATCATCCAGGTATTAAAAGCAGTACAACCATGTATACACAGCAGCCTGCTGGAGTCAATTTAAAGTACCTTGGCTATTTAACTGCACAGAGGAATACTACTGCCCAGTATTAAAGCAATATTGGAATAAATCAGACATTTTGGTTTATACGCTGAAGTTGTAATGTTTGTTTTAGTGTTCAATTGTTTTGAAAACTTTGTAGTTCAAAAATCTCCTTTATACAAAAGTTAGCATGTACTACTACCATCATTCATCACCTTTAGTCATGATATGTGGTCTGAACCACAGATTTGCTGTACGCTAACTTCCACTTTGTAGTAAGTAGTGTTTTCTTGCATTGAATCTCACAACATAACCTGTTTAATCTACAGTGGATAACAATGTTAGAATCTTATGACTGATTTTTTTTTAATGCTTATGTATTTGCTTTATTAATACAGATCCACCACAGATGAATAATGTTATGCCAACATCCCCCCTCCTTCCTCAGATGGCACATCAACACTCATATCCCAGCTTGGGACAGATCACAAACCCATACGAGCAACAGCCCCCAGGCAAAGAGCTTAACAAGTACGCCTCCCTAAAGGCAGTCGGTAAGTCAGTAACATCATGCATGACTTCTGCTATCCCACAGCATGCTGCATTTTCTGCTGTCAGCTGACATTCTGCTTCAGTTAAAAATGAACTCTTGCTCTTTTTGACTGCTTCATTACAGAATTTGTCCATTTTCACATCACGTTAGTTGGAAATGTATAAAAAATGAAAAGGGGATCTACAGTTAGAAAATTGTATATAAGAATTGGTGATCACATGCATATGCCTAAATATTCATAAAAAAACATGACATACCTTCACTATTTTCAGTAAGTTTCACCTACACTGTATGGTGTTCAGCTCCAGTTCTATCTGCCCTCAACATGCCTATGCGCGCACTTCAGTAGGTATTTTCCGCATCTATCAGTACAAATAAGAACAGTATCAGATATGTTGCAGATTTAAGACACCTGCTGAGTACTTGGTAGAGGAGACAAACTTGAATGCTTCAGAAGTAATAGCTTTCACACATTTTCTGCAGAACGTGCATTCACAGATCACCAGATGAACAGGCCTTACAATGCCCAATGATTAGTGTATCACAAGGGTCCTAACAAAGATCCTAGTGTTGGCTTTTCTTCTGCTACTGGTTAATGTTATACAGTATTATTTAATAGAATGAGGAAATGACTTCAAATAAACAGTTATGGAAAGAGGACAATGGTTGATAAACACAGCAACATAACTTTCACCTTAGAAGCATAAATTCCTTGTACTTTTCAGGAGCTGTAAATACTGGCTGCACATCATGCAATTACAGAAAGCCTTTCTCAACTTACATGTTGAGACTCTGATGGACCACAATTAATGAAGAACTTCTCAGACTTAGCTAGCCAAGCTTTTGATTCCAGTGAATTTTCACAGGAAATATAAAAAGTCACTGCACTGTTATCCACACTTATCAGCAGAAAACACTAGAGATGTTTGAACTTATACATTCAGAACTCTTCTCTGGCCTTACACAACCAGTTGGAGACACTCAGTGTTTAACTGCTTCCAGACTTTCAAGGCCAGATTCACCTCATGAGCACCTCTCAAGATCACAAAGCAGTTTTCCCAAGGTCCCAGCCAACCTAGGGCTTGGGATCATGCAGACACCAAGCTGGCCACACCACACATGGCAGAATTCATTCCGGCTTTATAAGACCTCTGAGAGAAAACAGTAACTGGCCCACATCAGGCTCACCATGCAAATATAACCTGATCACAACTCAACTTTTCAACAAGTGAACACAGACTAAGTTCACCGCAGCCTGGTATTCGTGTCAGAGGGCCATGACATTTTTCACATAATGCCATTTAGAGTCAGATTTACTGAATCACGTAGTAGGTTAATGAGCCCATAAATTTACATTTATAGATAGCAGCTAGAGGGTACATTCAGTTGCCACAACAGAAATTTATTAATAAAGGATACGTTCTGTATCTCTTCTTGCATTTGAGGAAAACCACATTCATTTAAGTGCCTCTCAATCTGCACAATCCCATTGTTCAGTTGTAGTCCAGCATGCTTAATTCTCTTTTTTAAGGAGGAGGTGGGTGGCAGCAGAACCGTTCCTATAGGCTTCTGGCAACTGGAGTTGTATTATATTAATATCACCCATCATAATGTGGCCACAACTAGTAAGAAGTTTAGATAACTTTAGATAAGTTTAGATAAGTTTCAGCTTAGATAACTGAAAAAGTGATGTTGTACCATAGGCAGCATTAAATTAACTTCCACATAGTTGCTTTCTTCTGAACTACAGTTGTGCTAAAAATTTGGCTATAAAATTTTTGAAGTGAGCCACTTATGACGGCTCCTATGAAAATTCAGATCATGGAAGTAACACGTCAGAGTACTCTTGGTTCCGGATCCCATTCAGGATCAGCATTAAACTCAGTATCTAAAGCTGAAATGTTCCTGAAAACAAGAGACAGCAGTGCCACTGGTATTAATTTACATCGTGTTACTGAAGGAGAATAACCAATACCTTGGAGGTCAGGCCAAGTTGACTCCTAAGAAGCTATTTATAAGTTACATCCTATACTCCAGGTCGTACAGCTTAGCAGGGTGCAACACAGTGTGTGCATTGCAGAGTGGTTGATTCAGCACAACAGGGGAAAAGAGAGCTGAAAAGGTCAATATGGATGCTTTTTATTCAAGAAGTAAAATGCTTTTATGTGAGCCACTTTAAACTACACACCCAAATCCTTACACTCTCAATATAAGAGAGTATCTTCCTCAATTCGAAGTTATGAATTTACTTGTTGCAGCTTCCAGAATTCCTTAAGTACTGACCGGCAACCACTGGCCAAATTTACCTTTTCCTCTTAGCATCTGCTACCATTTACATCTCTGAATAACAGATGGACATTCTATACTTATTCTATATTCTCACATGAGTGCTTTAAGAGCAACGAGGGAATAGTGAGCTATGATTTATTCGTTGATTTCCTCACTGCAGCAGAATTTCTCACTCCTTCTACCTTAACACATACATCACCAGGGAGCAATTAGCAGAAGGCAGAGAGCCCTTGTAAATGAGACGCAGCAACATGCATTTCCCAAAAGAACAGATAAGAGACCCATCTCCTTGCATCCTTAGCCTACCTCTGATTTGCTTTTGCACTCTGTTAATCCATGAGCTGTCCATTTTTTCAGCTAGAGAATTGTTTTTCACTTGTGCTCAATTTCTCCCATAAGGGAATATCAGAGACTTTATCTGAGGGAAAAGGGTTATCAACCTCTTACTTAAGCCTTAATCTTACTTAAGATTAGACCATCAGAAGTGGTCACTGTTTGGATATTTCAATATTTTGGTCACCTGAGATGACTTGATCCTGTTTCCTTCAGTGCTTTGCAGTATTTGACTATTTGTGTTAAAACTGACAAAAGTGTTCACTTCTGCACAAATTATTCTTATTTCCAGTTCATTAACCATGCTTTTACTCTATGCTTAAATGGTTATTGTTCACTTAAGCAATCCTGACATGCCTAATGCTACAAGTGGATGGAGACCCTGTATATAAACACCCCTATGAAATTCAAACCGCAGGGCATACAACATTAGCTCATCACAAATTCATATAGACCTCATTTGGATATTCATTCCAAAATCATGTACAGTTCAACCTCAAGCTCCATTCTGCTAAACTGTAAGAGCTGGAATCCACCTGGTAGCTTAATAAGAGTTCCTGAGATCTCAGACCAGCCTCAGTGTCCCATGGTATTAATCATACCTGTTTAGTCACACAGCCAGGCTCACCAACAGTTAATTTTCATTCCCAAGTTTCACAGAGCACAAAGTGATCCAATTGTTTTGCAGTCTCTAGCAAAAATAATACCCCAAATCCAACATTTTAAGCTGCACAGGACTGGAAGAAAATATCACTTAGTTGCTGGAGTGATGCATGTAAAAATTGAGAAAATAAATATTTCTGTAACTTATTATGACTTTTTATTTCTTTTATAAACTTCCTTTTTCCTCCCTCTTACCCACATATGCATACACAAACATCTGAGGAACTGACAGGGCATGACTTAATAGGAGATGATCAGTTTAATTTTTTGCCAAAGGAAATGCAATGGACAGAATTCCTACCTGAAATTCTAACTGATAAAACTGTCAGTGATGCTGGGAGCTGTAGTCTCCTGTGGAATTAAATCAGATGTAACTGATTTAATACAGTGAAACTGAAGGAGAATATAATTAGGAGCAGTCTCACCATCACATATCAGAGCATATAGCTCACAGCATTTTTTGAAACTCCACAGTTCTCTGATCCCAAAGGGAAATTAGACAGTGCCCTAGCTCTGCTTGCAGCTGCACAACTCTGACGTTAGATTCTGCAAGTCTGATACTGAAAGAGTAAATATGTACTGTTTAGGTCACTGCTACTATTGTAGCTAGTACTGCAGCTACTAGTACAAGCCAACAGCTCCCTCAAAAAGCTGAAGAACATGAAAAAATTGTCCAGTCTGTTTGCTCTTTACATCTACACATACAAAGGAAATCATTGTAAGTTTAAATTTAAGGTGCTGTCCTTAAGCCATCCTCCTATCTAGAGGGAAATATGGCGATTCCTTCTAAAGCTTCCAATCTTCAGTGTCTACCAAAATGACTGTAACTATGTGCAGATACAGGATATCTTAAGAGAACAGGCATGACTTCACAGCTGCCCCTGAGAAGCTGATAGCCGTCTCACTAGAAGAGATTCTGCATAGGTTGTTCTGCTGTTGTAGGGGCCATTACAGAAAGACAGGGAGAGCTGGAAAGAAACACCATAACTGGAGAAATGACAAGACACAACAGGGAATTGTATACAGATTCACAGAATCTGATGCAGATGATTTTTAGAAAAAGTAGGGTTACAGAATGGTAGGATAAAGTATGCTTGTGTAACTTTACTTTCCCTATTACCAAGCACATTGTTTCACTGACAGGTGAATACTCATGCTCCTTTGGAAGGCTTAAAAAGGAAGAGCTTTCATTTTGGAAAGAGATCTTCAGCTACTAATACTGTACAAAAATGGCTTAAAAAATCTGAGACATGCAAGCAGCTCTCTGGATTTAACACCTCTAAAACAGAGAAGTACAGATCAATGCATCATTTGTCATATCTAGAGGGTTAATGAGTTATTTTTGGTGTCATACACAATGCTAGACTAAACAATCTGCTTGATTCCGCACCAGAGCTATCTCAAGGAAGTATGACATAAAAGTCTGATATCTATCTTCTATCATTATTCACTCAACCAAGTGCAACTAGAAAATTGGAAGCTTTTGGGTATTCCTATGCTAAGGAAGTCTTCCATACTTTAATCCTTGCTTCTCCTTAAAAAGCAGCACCGAATAGCAAGCCTCACTTCACTGCCTCTCAGCTAGCACTGTTTGCTCACCCTTCCATTTCCTGTGAAGGGTGAGTGTCAATGAAGAACGAGTTACTCCACCAGTGGCTTTCTGCTGAGATCCTCCCAAACTTCATATACAGACTGCCATGTACAAGCTTTTTCTTG